ACAGTCAATAGTAAATGAATATTTGTGATTGATGATACAAAGTACACAACTTCAATCGCAATATTCCAGTACTTGTTATAAGACACAATACCCTGTATATATGTAAACAAACAGGCATTTATGTACTAAAGGTTATAACATTTTGTAATCATAAATGATTCAAGAATGAAATTTTGAAATAGCTTTGCTTTTTCTCAGGCTGGGAGGAATTTAGTTTAAGTGTTTTGTTTTCATGATAATATGTTCCATAACATAATGCAACATTAATATTTAACAATACAATTTTCTTTAACTTGCTTTTTATGCAATTTAATCTTTTTTAAATGTGCAATTTGCTCAGTCCCTGAAATAAACAGATGGCTATATTTGTGGACATAGCAGATGAATTTCAGCAGGGGATATTTTCTGGTATGTTCTTAACTTAATATAAATGTCTCATATATGAAATATTTATATTATGTATTGTGTTTGTTTTTTAGTATTGTATAATATTTAAATGTACAAAATAAAAAACTTAAGAAAATAGAAAATACTCTTTCTCCATAATCGTCAAAACTTCTACTATTATCTTCAATTAACCTAAATTAAATTGTGTCAAATTACATAGAATTTCCCCTGATAATTACATATTTATATTTAAACACTGATTGAAGCTTTGTTATTGTTTTTTTTTTCATTTGCTGATTTCAAGGAGGATCTCATTATGTAGCCCAAAATGGTTAGGAATTTTGATCTTTGACTCCAGCCTCACCAGCTGGTATTATAGGTGTGAACCACCAAACCTGGCTTTAAGTAAGCTTCACAGCTTTAGTTATAAATCCATTTTCAAAGTTCTGTTAAAAAAAAGTCTTTTCACTTTACAAAAGTATGACACATTCATAATTTAGCAAGAAAACATAAATGGACAACTTTTGTCTCCAAGTTTTTCTTAAATATATTTTTCAAATATTTTTAGCTGATTTGCCAGATTAAGGCTGACATCAAATAATGCATAGAATTTCCATATTGAAATATTTCAGATTAATATTATCTACGATGGCTATTTTGCAGTTGCTGTTTCACATATTATGTATTCCTCCAGAGTTCAGAGTATGAATTATTTCATCCAAAGCTGCTACGTACTTAAAATAAAAAGGTCATGTTAACTATCTCTGGAGAGAAACAGTTGCTTTTAAAATTACATTTTAGTCATATTCCAGAAAGTGGATTTCATTGTGTGCATGGGATTTTACTGTATGTGGTGTGGTGTAGTGAGTGTGTGTGTGTGTGTGTGTGTGTGTGTGTGTGTGTGTGTGCTAGGAATAGTGATCACAACTGTGAATTGTTGGCAGCTTTTTTTTTTTTCCCATTGCATTTAGCAGAAGGGTGCCACCTGGTGGAAATGTGAGTAAATTTGAAACCTTATCTTCCTAAGTAGAAAAGAATGCACTCCTAACAGGCCTTGAGAATCTCAACATTAGCAGAGACAAGTGAAACAAAGATACTTAACTTCATATTGTATGTATAAGGATCCATCTGGATAATTTTATACTAGTTAGATTTTAAAGTTGATATGAAGGTAACTTTAAAATATCAATCACTATTATAGTAGAGGCTTTAAACAAATTCCTCACCCACTTTACATTTAAAGTGTTCTGTACACACAGGTACAGCACAACACTTGTGATAGTACCACATTGTTATAAAAGGAATAGGTTGTATTGTTATGTGCATAACATAGGAAGAAAGACAAGACAGACTTGATCTCCTGGCTAAGTCTCAAGTCTACTACCTGACTTCTCAGCCAAGCTTGGGTAGATTGCTTAACTCAATCCTTTGTATCATCATCCCCCCAAAGTGAAGAACTACAGGATGCACCTCAAAAAGTTGCTTTGAGAGTCAGAAGAGACAAATGCATTTGATACAGGGTAGCTTATCAACCTCAAGCATAGCCCACAGAACCTAGCAAACAAACATTCAGGAAGTGGCTGCTTTCAAACAATGAACTGTATTTAGCCATTCAAGATTTAGGATCTGTCCATTGAAAATTAGATATTGATCATGTTATATGGAAATGATTTTCTCTATTCATGTCAAAGTATTTACATTTTTGACGTCTTTAAAAGGTGGAAGGTTATTGAAACAAACATAACTGCTGGAAAGCATCAATGAAGTTTTAAAAGATTGCTGATATAATGTAAATATTTTCAATGGTTCAAAGAGTAAAGAAAATTATCCCGTTCCTGCTTTTTCTGAAAGTGAGGCTGTCTCTGGTCACAGCCCTTTGTGACAGAACAGTCACAGACAAGATGAAACAAAAAAAAAACTAAGTCCTCCACAGCAAGACAACAGTAACCAAATTACATTGTTTCATATTATTTTTACTCCAAAGAAAGGCTGGGTTCTTTGACCGGCTAAATAGAAACAGGTACTTACTGGGTGGCTCAGGCTAAGTATCTTCAAGTCTAATAACAATCTCTATCATGGAAAGTGAAAGACTTTTTTTGGCAACCTTCAAAAGTTTAAATCATTCAAAATCAATACAGATGAATGATCAGCTGGAACATGCTCCCTGTTGTAACCCCAGACAGAGTTTCATAAAGCTATATTTTGAAGTCAATTTATGAATCTTCTTTTTGATATATCATGCAAGCTAGGATAATTAATAGCATCTTTGCAGAGGTATTGTAGCTAGTATTGCATAAAAGTTGTGAGACCATGACAAAATTAAACCACAATGACTGAATCTGTTCATAACTACTCAGGCATGTATTGAAAGCATGCAAGCATCCACAGCAATCACCCACATTCCATGGCCATCAATTCAAAGGTTAGTCCCTGGTCAAATAATAAAATAGATATTGATATTTCATTCTTTCTCTTTTCATTCTTACATCAGTCTCTTTTAACACATGTATAGAAAGGCACACCAATGGCATTTTAAAATCATGTAAATGCTCAAGAAGTCACTTGAACCTACTAAATTAAAATGAGAGTTCTTCAAATGGCCACTCCCTGAATATTTGAATTGGCCATAAAAATATGAATACTAACAAGAAAAAAATGGATTCGAGCTTGAACTTATCTTTCCCTTTGAATTTTAAGTACCAGATTAGTCCTGAAAGAGGGATTTGCTTTGCATATACAACATGTCCACTTATTTGCATATACATTTTCAGCTTCTGCGTGTTCTACCTTGCCTTTCTTTCCCTACCTCCCCCCACCATGGCTGTACTGTTTGCAGCACCTCAAGTAACCAGCTGGTGTCACAGGTTAGTGAGCAAAGATTCCATGTGGGGACTCTTATCTGACTTACCATTCTTATGGCTAGCATCATTCTAAGAGCAGCAAAGAGGCTCCGTGGCTTGTTAATGAAATTTAAGGGCTGTCAGCCTGAAAGAGGATGTCACATCCATGTTCTTTCAGGGAAATCATTTCTATACATCTCCTAAGCAGTTTCTATGCGGTGGGGTGGTGTGTGCTGGGGGGTGGGAGGAGGTATAAAAAGGAAGGGACATTTGAATATAATCTCTTATTCGTGCCCTTATCTGTAAGTATGCATCGAAGAGGATGGATTAAGAAAACCAGTGCTTTGAAAAGCAGCATTCACCTCCATTAACAGAAAGGAAGCTATAAGGGATTGAATAATCTCCACCACCTGTGTGAAACATATGTGAGGAAAATGAAAAAGGGAAGGAAGGGGAGAGAAGAGACCACAAGCCAACAGAGATGACCAAGACTGGAATATTAATATCAGAACTGCTGGCATCGCTTCTTCTGCCTTGCCACCCCTCTCAGCTATTTGGACAGCTTCCCTCACAGGCGCTCTTCAGTGCAAAGAATTCGCGAAGAGCTGACTGACTGCTGAAGTCGAGCTGTTTGCACCCCCTTGTCACCTCACTTCTAAGAACGAACGGGGAGTGTCTCTGTGGGGGACGCCTATGGTGGCCTTCCACAGAGCACCCCGGGGAAAGAGCTTACCCCAGCGCCCGGGGAACTCTAGCCCCACGGTGATGCACTGACCTAAGCGCGGTTCTCTCTGCCCAGTTCTAATGGATATAAACGTGACCGCACCTGGAGCGGTCACAGCCTCCCTCCTCCACGCCAGAGCGTCTCCGCGCTCCTAACCCTCCAACTTTAGGAAAGAGCATCACCGAACGCCCAATCACCCCCAATCCAGGGACACAGACTGAGAGGGGGAAATCTTCCATGCAATGAGACTATAGGTCCTTAAAGACAGAAACAAAACGGGGCTGCCGTGTGCGAAGGATGTGAAGAATCACATCAACCCTCCACCAGCACAGAGCACCCTATCTCCGCAGACACAACACCTCTGGATGTGGAGATCCCTGGAGCCAGTCCCTTCCCAGCTTCCCTTTGAGGACCAGCGCCTTTCTGCTCCCCAAGCAACGTTCCACTCTGCACACTACAGATGCAGAACACATCCTCTTTTCCCCACCTTGCCTCCCACCGCTGTCTCCTCGAAAGAGAAAGGCAAGGGAAAACTCTGCCGGCCTAAGTCATTTGCCTAGTTGGGTATTTGGGGGGAGGGTCAGCGCGTGTCCAGAGCACAGTAAGACAGGGCTTGAACCCTGCAAGTGGTCCTCTCCAGGAGCGCGGCAGATCTTGCCAGTGCAGACCTGACCTCCTCTCCCTCCCACGGTGGCCCGCCCGCTGGAGCTCTCTCCAGGACACCCCCAGCCTTTACCTCTCGCCCCCCTTCCCCGCGGCTCTCCACCTTGCGCATCCTCTCGCCCGGACCCAGAGCGCACTCAGATGCTCTAACTTCCTGCTGAGTCCATGGATAGCAGGGAACAACTGCTTGTGGAACTGGGGCGGGGGTGGGGGACAGGGAGGGGTGGGAGCCGAGCCCGAGAGGAGAAACGGGGGTGTGGGGGAGCGCCGACGCGAGTCATCCTCCCCGCTCCAACACACACACACACACACACACACACACACACACACACACACACACACACACACACTCCAGGGAGGGCCTGGCCGCAGATGCCAACTCTCACCTGGTCCGCCGGCTGCGCCTGGCTCGCCCTGGCCCCCGGGGTGGGCTGCTGCTCCTGCTTCATGGCTGTCATCGCTTTGGAGCTCACTTCCTCGCGGGCACTTCAGACTCAGGGACTGTCACTTGGCCGCGATCGCATCGCGGGCGCCCGTCTCTCGCTCGCTCGCTCGCTCTCTCGGAATTGGCGGAAGGGAAAGCGGCGGCGATGGGTGGGGGGAGGGGAGCGTCAGGGAGGGGAAGGCGAGAGGCAGCAGGCCAGCCCCCCCCCCCCCCCAGGCAGGATCCTCTTCTTTCGGCTACCGCAGACCCTCGAACTCCCCACTCCCCCGCCCCCCACCGCCGGCCCTCCCGAGCGAGCTCCCGAGACCAGACACGATCAAGTGGCAAGTTAGAGGGGCGGCGAGCGGCAGGATCCCAGCCCCTGACCGCGCTGGTGCCACGTCTGGAAGCGCCCGAGGAGCCCGGCTCTCATTCTACCGCAGTCCGCGCCCCCCGCGCGCACAGCCGCCCGCCCCCGGGGGCTCCCCGCTCCGCTCTCAGCGTGCCAGGTGGAGCAGTCCCGCGCCTAGCTCCTGCATCTCCCTCCCTAGCAACCGCAACGCGGGACAGAGCCCTGGGCGGCGCGGCTCCTGGCTCCCGGCTCCCTTTCCAGCATTCAAGGCTGCCCAGCTCTGTGGGCACCCTGGTCCTTCTGCCACCCGCGAGCTCCTGTTAAAACCCGGAGAAGCGGAGTGTGCAAAGCCCTCTGTGGTTCCAGCGCGGCCACTGGGCATGCTCCAGCGCTCCAGAAGGCAAGGGGCAGCGGGGGACAGAGGCCTGGGGTCTACCCCTGATGGTGTGCGACACTTGTCTGGGCCTGAAGGGCTGTCCCAGATGGTGACCCGCGGCCCCTCGAGCCTCTTGATTTGGAGCAGTGTGCATTCTTTAGCTTCTAGCTAAAGACATTCCCCAGATAGCTTCCTGGTTAAGGCCAGGTGAATTCCTAGAGGTTGGTTAGAAACACTAATAACCTGATAATTCTTTTTAAAGGCTCTCTCTCTCTCTCTCTCTCTCTCTCTCTCTCTCTCTCTCTCTCTCTCTCTCTCTCTCTCTCTCTCTCTTTTCTGGGTATAGATGGAAACAATCAGCAGGTTCTAAGTTTTTCTGCTGGACATATCCCTTTCTCATTCAAAGTATGTTTATTGAGCACCGAACAGGTGTTAAGCACCCTGTAAAGGCTGGGAGGGGCTGCAGTGAAGAGAATCTCAATAACAAGCCGAAACTACCCAAACCGTTTTTTTGGAAACCCAATGGTTAACGCCCAAGCCACGTCGTTTAAATTAGTTTAGAAGCTGAGTGCATGTGGCTGGATGGAATAAGCTTATGTTCATTAGTTTCACCTGGTTTCCCTAAACACAGGACTTTCCCCAAGTGCCAGCAAGAATATGCCTTAAGCAGATGGACCACATGCAGTTGCCCCATGACATGGCACACACAGGTTGATGGGGGTTGCTCACCAGGGAAAAAGATGAGAGGGAGACAACTATGCAGAAAGTAATGAATCCAGTCCATGCTGTGAAGTAGTTCCAAGTAAGGAAGCAGAAGGTAGAGATGTCGATGTATAGGGAGCTCAGAACTGGGTTTTACAACCTAAGGACTGGCTCCCTTTTTGTCTAAATGACTCAGCCACTTGTTAGCTATTGTGGAATTGTAGAAAATATGCCCCTGTCTTGTTCATTCTTAAGATATAAATTATTATGCTTGCCCTAAACAATAACAATGCCTTTAAAATAATTTTTAAAGAAATCTGTCATCGTCAATAGGTGGAATCCAGATGAACAGAGAAATTGCTTTTCAAAAATGTGTGCTCCAGGCCTTTTTGGTTGCTGAAGTGTTCTACTTCAGTAGAATTGCTTTGTGATAAGAAGCACTACTAGGTGTAAAAGTTTAAAGCAAGCATAAAAGAAATGAAATTTTGTAAAATATCTGTGCAATGAATCTGATAAATCAGTTTTTTCCTCATATATAATTTGAGGATTTGAGTGAAAGAATATACATTGATCAGAAAATACTTCCATCTTTACACCTTACTCTCTGTTCTTTACTTGGATACATTCATTGTTCCAAGTCTTTCCATTTTGGATGATCTACTTGAAGACATTTCCTTTATGACAGAAATTTGTTTAATAAAGGATGGGGGCATAGTAGAGGGAATTATTGCCATTCAGATATAGATTAGTTATTTGATTAAACCTAATGGTTTAAGGTAGTGATGTTTAACTAAATATGTATTTTATACTCAGTTTTCAATATTGAGTATGAAATTTAGTTTGATTACAAATTATGTCAAAATGGTTACATGTTTTGCTTGATGTGGTGTACTTTGAGAGCATCTTTTGTTTTTGAAGAAGGGCTTCTTTGATCTGAGTCTGTTTGGGGGTAGATTGTTAATTTTCAAGATAGGAGGTTTTTTTGTTAATCTCTTGAGACTTACATTAAGGGCATTAATTAAAAATTGATTGCATGAAAAGTGATTTTCCCCACTTAACCTCTTTTTTGAAATATAATACACTTGAATTCATATGTTAGATTTTTGTACTCTATTTCTAATTGAAGAAAAAGTCTAATTTCTAAGAAATACAGAGGTATGTTTATAATTCTCTTTTACAATTTCTCATCATAGTATTATTTAAAAATAGCTAGATGCTGATAACTGGCATGTCTTAGATATGTGGGAGACTAAGATTTGAGACTAGTGCTTTGAAGCCAGTCTAGGCAGAATACTCTTAAGATTCATTCTCTAATTAACTAGCAAAGAGCCAGAAGTGAAGATATACCTCAAGAGATTAAAATGAAAAGTTCATGAGTTCAAGGCCAGGATTGGCAGAAGGTGGGGAGGTGGGTAAGGAAAAGGATACCATTTACAGTCTATAAAATTAGAGGAGTCACGTTGTCATAACCCTAATGCAATGCAGACATGAAGTGTCTGTATCTGTCTGTATGTCACTGAATGACTGCTTTTGCTTCATCCAGACTAAGGGTCAGGGTGAACTTGTTTATCTCCTGTCCCCACTTCCTTACCTGGAAAAATTAACATGTTAAAACACTTGACAATTAATATATCTCTTCTATTTCTGTGACTATACATTGATTTTAACAGATCAAAAATCAATGTGCTAAATGGTAAATTATTTGCATAGGCTAAAATTTACTGGAAGTATCAATTAAATGCTTAGAAAGGTACAAAAGATAGATAGTTTAATTACTCCACAATGGATCCTTGAGATCCACCAAATATTCACGTTCTTTTAGGACATGTAAATGCATAATATTTTGTTAATATTTGCCTTATTGGCAAACTTCTCTTTCTTTTTTTCTCTGCCGCATACTTGCCTTTCTTTGTTCGTTCGTTCCTTCCTTAGTTTCTTCCTTCCTTCCTAACTTTCTTTCTTCCTTCCTTCCTAACTTCCTTCCTTCCTTTCTTTCTTGTGTGTTTGTGTGCTGGTATTGTGGTTTGAATGCAGGACCTTGCATTTTCGTTCAGCTTTTCTTTGTATGGATGGTTTCCACCACTTGAGCTACCACAAACACACACACACACACACACACACACACACACACACACACACACACACACACACACACACACATTCTTTTTATATGGAAATAACACTGTCAGTGACTTTCTGCCTAAGCTGGTTTTGAACTAGGATACTCAAATCTTAGCCTCAACAGCAGCTTGGATTATAGGTGTGAGTCCCTGATGCCTGGCATTTTTGAAACAATCATAATTAAAATTTGGTTATAAAGTATTTCTGGAAATAAAAAAATCTACTTATGAAGAGTTTTTTAGAGTTTTACAGAATATCTCTAGGTTCTTTGTCTTATTTATTTCCCTGAGGAGCTAAACAATGACAATCATAATTTTTTAACTCTTGTTTGGTAATGAAGGAAATATGATCAGATTCTTTTCTTTTTTCTTTTCTTTTCTTTTTTTTTTTTGTCAGTCTTGGGGCTTGAACTATGGGCCTAAGAGCTGTCCCTCAGCTCTTCAGCTCAAGGCTAGTGCTCTACCACTTGAGCTACTGCGCCACCACTTGACCTACTGCACCACTTCCCATTTTCTGGCGGTTTATTGGAGATAGGAGTCTCACAGTCTTTCCTGCCTGGGCTGGCTTTGAACCGTGATCCTCAGATCTCAGCCTCCTGAGTAGCTAGGATTACAGGCGTGCGCCACCAGTGCCCGCCTTGATCAGATTCTTATAATGGACAACACCTGGAAAAGTGACTAGTAAAATCCTCTCCCTTTATGGTTCTAAATGTCTCAGAACATTTGACAATATGTTGTCACATTAATATAGACTTTTTAAATTTTTATAGGAAGCAACTTTACCACTTCCTTCTGAAAATGAATGGCCACAGTTTCCACATTCAGGCTTCCATGAGGATGTCATTTACAATGCTGATTTCTCATTGTGTTCCTTTGGGTTTCTGAAGTTGCTCAAAAGCCTTCTTATATATATGCTTTAAACATCTAGCATCTTCCTCAGATTGATATTTTATGCTTCAAAAAGTAATCCTGGCTACTGCAATCTTATTCCTCAGGAGGCTGAGATCTGAGTGAAGGCAGCCCAGGCAGAAAAGTCCATGAAACTCTTATCTCCAATTAACACCACAAACTGAAACTGGAGCTGTGGCTCAAGTGGTAGAGCATGAGCTTTGAGTGAAAAAACAAAGGGACAGCACTCAGGCACTTAATTCAAACCCAAGTACCAACAAGCACACCCAAACATGATGTGAAATGCCAGTGTGGCATGTATAGTCTCACTGAGAATTTGACTAAGTCAAGATTATAATCAAAATATTTCAGTATCAGTAACAAAGTTAGGTCATTGTAGGAACACACTTGTTTGTATGACCTATTTAATCTTTAATATCAAAGTAGAGACACTGGAGATTTTTTTTTGCTCGTTAACAACAAGCAAATCATAATATAACCAGGTTAACCTTGGCTATGTCTGTAAAACACAAAAATTCTATAAGAGTATGTGAAGCAGGGTAGTATTTCCTGACAAACTCCTCAATTTCAGATAA